TTTACTTTAAATTCTTGAATAAACTTTTTGTATAATCTTTTTGGGTATCTATGGGAATTATTCTTGATTCTCGAACCCTAACATTGTGGGGGCTTGTCCGGGATTTGAGAATAGAGACCCCCAGACCCACGGAAGCATCACCAGAGCGGGCCTTGGAAAGTTCTGCCAGCTTTCCTCTCTCTCTCTCTATGTCTCTCTCTCCCTTGCTTTTTGGTAGTCCGGACATCCTGGGGCTCAATGGAGATCAGGCAGACATGCTATTGATCCCAGAGCTGGAGGAGAATGAGGGATGCCCCAACGCCTCTTCTGTTGAGGGGTCGTGCTCCAGTCTGACGTGGAATCCAGGTGGGACTGACCCAGAGTCTTGGCCCAGTCCCATGTGGAATCTGGGCGGGCCAGACGCAAGATTCTGGTCGAGTCTGACCTGGAATCCAGGCTGGCCAAATCTTTTTGGGAAAGGAACAGGGGCAGCCTTCTCAGCTGACTCCGCACGCTGCAAGATTTTCATTTCTCCCTCTAGGGAACCGCGGTCTCATACTGTCCTCACCCTCTGCTCGGAGCTCCGCCTTGTCTATCGACTTTCCATCCTTCTTCTCATTCTCATTCCTCTCCTTATATTCTTTTTTCTTGAAGCTTATCCCACGATGGGCCAGAAAGTCTCATCATCTTCAGCTCCCCTTGATCTAGTTCCTAGTCATTTTCAGGATTACAAACAAGCGGCCTCGAACATGTCCGGACTCCGTGTCAAACCAACCCGCCTCCAGACCCTCTGCACCATCGAATGGCCTTCCTTTGAAGTTGAATGGCCATTTGAAGGGTCCTTTAACCTGTCCCTCATCTACAGGTTTCAAGGAGTTATCTTCGGGGACCCAGGGCACCCTGACCAGATCTCATACATCCTAGGTTGGCGATATCTGGTTGCTGCCCCGACTGGCTGCGTCCCTTACTGCTGCCCCCACCATCAGAGCCTAAGGGGCCAGCCACTTAGCTTCCCCTGAAGAAAGTCCAGACCAAAAACCCATCGGGTCCTGAGGCTCTTTCCTCGGCGCCAGAGGAAGATTTACTCCCACCACCTTACAGGGCCCCAGTGAGTGCTCAGGATAGACCTAGGGAATGCAGGTCATGAGCATCTTCCCCTTCTTCCAGTCCTTCCCAGTCTCTGTCCCCAGCTCCCATGGCTGAGCCAGCACCTCCCGTGGCCAAGCCCAGCCCAATGCACACTTGCTTGAAGAGGGAGAGGAGAATTGTGTGAGCTCTTCCCCTGAGGGAGATTGGGCCCCCAGGGGAGGATGGAATTTCCCCAGTAGTCTACTTTCCCTTTTCTACTAGTGACTTGTGTAATTGGAAGTTACAGACTCCCTCCTTCACAGAGAAGCCTCAGGCCCTGATTTCCCTCTTGGATACCATTCTTTTTACCCACCAACC